GGGAGGTGCGCTTCTATCTACTCTGGTTGCTTTGCTTTGCTTTGCCTTGCCTTACTGTAGTGTGAGTGAGTGAGTGAGTGAGGTATGTTATGTACAGACAGGTTCTGTTCTCTCAAGGAGAGTGAGAGAGATGCAGATACATACATACATACATATGCTATGCTTCTTTTGACAGACATACGGACAGACAGACAGACAGACAGACAGACAAGCGAGCAGCACGCGCCCCTGCCTACCCTACCTTCCATTCTGATTCTGATGCTCACTTACCTCACCACCGCGAAAGAAACACAATAACTTAATCTGTCTGGGTGTCTCTCTGTCTGGGCGTCTGTCTGGAACTCCTCTCTTCTCTCCTTCCTTCATCTAGATGGATGGATGGTGGATGATGGATGGATGGATGGGCCATCGCATCCATGTGTGCTTTGCTCGGTGCCTAGACGTCGCGTCGGCGGGTCGTGACGTGATTGATGCGTTCATTGACCCGGTCGGTTCCTGCCTGATACTGCCCGTCCGTCTCGATGATGATGTACATCATCATATCTCATATATACTACTCACTGATGGATGGCGATGTGAGATGCATTCTGCCAAGGGCTGGCTGAGTGCATTCCTTCCTCGTGTGTTGACTGGCGACATTGATTGATTGCACCTCTTGATGCATCATCGCATCGCCATGCTGGGGTGTCCTGTGGCCCGACGATGCGATCGATGCCGGCGGTGAGGGGCGGAGTGGGCAACACACGAAGACGTGCACATGACTAGGAGACAAGAGCAGACGGGACGGTCAGTCAGAGAGGTGTGCTAATGCTGGAGGGAGCAATGATGATTTCTTTCCTTCTGTCCGTTCGCTGAGCGAGGCTTGTCTTGACTCGTGGTGACGCCTGCCGGTGTTCTGGCCTCAAGAGAACGTCGGCGATCGTCACCATGGCGGGAGAGGAGCGCCGCACAGCGACGGAGCGAGACAGACACACAGCATTAGCTATGCATTGGTCGAAGGTTGGACCGAATTGGCAGCTAGGTCAGTGAGTCAGTCAGGTTAGTGGCTGGGCTGGGCTGGCTGAGCTCGGTCTGTACTTGCTGCTTGTCCAGTGTGTTGCTGTCTGATGGATGGATGGATGGACTTGATGATGCGCAACGTGTGGACTGACTGATGCGTTGATTGATTGATGCCATACATGCCTCCCTCCGTGTGCATGTCTGTGTGTGTCCTGTGATCTGATGAAATGCAATTGATGCCTCCATTCCATTCCATTCGATCATTCTTACTCCAACCCTACCTGGCCACCAACTCTTTGCCTGCCACAAACCTACCAAACCATTATTGAATTGATCAGATCACTGACTGCAGTGTGTTGGGGTGAGGAAGCCAGTCAGTCCACCTATTATGCTGTGTGTGTAATGTCAGCACGCACCCGCGCCCCTTACAACACGCCTATATCGGCATGCCACAATCACCACAATGCATTGCACTCAAGCAACTCCCGCGTGTGGGCCCATGTGCAGCTGACACACGAGTAGCCTGCCTGCACGTGAGCGAGCCAGTCGAAGACCTCGAGGGAATCCAACACAGATGGCCCAGCTCAGAACCACCTCTGTGGCATACCGTCAAGGTCCTCGAATGGCGTCACACAGACTCCCCATGTGTCATGTCAGCGGCAACTGACTTACTGTCCCGTGCAGCCAACTGCTTCTCGTTCACTGTCCCAGCCATCCCTTCACAGGTCGTCGTATGTCACAGTCGCGCGGAAGTCACCCGCTGCCTCCACCTGCACACACACACACACACACACATCAGCAGAGGGATCGGCTAAGAGCAGCTCATGGAATAGATGCGCTCTCTCGCAAGCGCCTGCCTGCTCTCCTGCCTGCGGGGCTGACCTCGGCTTGCGGCGGGGCATCTCTGTCCTTGTACCCGCCGCCACGACGGTCAGAGCGCCCGCTGCACAACACACACACACACAACAGGTATCGTCGACAACGGGCGGCATCCCCTCCCCTCCCCGCTTCCCTCAAGTACTAAGGTCCCCTACCTGGGGCTGTCCATCCTCTCGTCCGGGAAGCCACGAGGCGGACCCATCATGGGAGCTATACACACCACACCACACCACACACACTTGAGTGGTCCGGTCGTTCATTCCGGTGTGTGTGTGTGTTGAGAGTGGTAGCTGTTCGTTCGTTGGTTCGTACGTCTTCTGGGTGGTCCCCGGTGCATGCCTCCTCCCCGTATTGGCGGCGGCCCGTGCATCGGCGGGCCGTAGGGGCCCAGCGGGGGCGATGGGAAGGGCGGCCCGGGAGGAGGAGGACCATGACCCATCGGGGGAGGAAGGGGCGGACCGAAATCGCCGTCCTATATGTGTATACATAACACAACACACGCATACACACACATACCAACGTCATGAAGCACACACACGCACACACACACACAAATGGATGTGCGGCTGTACAGGTGGAGGCCCCATGAATGGCGGCCGCATGGGGTGTCTTGGAGGCATCGGGGGGCCGCGGGGCGGCATCATGCCGCCCGGGCCGTCGAAGTCGGGCGGGTAGAAATCACCCATGAAGTCAGGAGGACCGTTGGGCAGCGGACCTGCACGGCACACACGACAGGCGCCTCGTTTCGTCACTGAACTGAATTGAATGTCTGTGTTTGTGTGGTTGCTGACCGTCGTGTCTGTCGAAGTCTCTGTCTCTGCCATGCATGAGTCTGAGCCGCTTGGGTGCGCCGTGTGGGAGGGGCACCAGTCGACTGGAGTCGCCCATGTAGGCCTCGTGCATCATGCTCTCGTGCAACTGATAGATGCAGTGGCCCCACACCACACCACACCACACATGGGCCGGCCCAATGAGAGCGCTTTGAGCCGAGTGATGACTGACTGACTGACAGACCTTGTCGATGATTTCCTGCAGTGCGCTCTCGTGTTTGTTTCTGAGGTGCTTGTGGACGAACTCTGCCGCCTTGAACAGCTGATGGATGGATCATCGACACACACAGAACACACAACACTCGCTCACCCAGATGATCTAGATGGGCGCAGGGGCCTGGCGTGTTCATAGCTGGCTGATTGCCTGCCTGCCTGCCTGCCTAACCTTCCTGCAGATGTTGCATCGGAACCGGCCCTCCTCGACCTTCATCGTGTTCTGCCAGGGTGGAGAAATGGACGGGAGAATGCGATTGAGAGGGAATGGGCGGGCGCGGCGCGATGCATCCAGTCCAATCATTGCACTGAGCGGCACTCACTCACCTCGTCACAGTAGGCCTTCCACTTTGACGCGAGGGGCTCCTCCTCCTCCCTCAGCTGTATAATCACAATCACACACGTGCACATCAATCACATCACAGCACAGCACATCACATCACACGCTCGGCTGGCCTTGGTTCTGTTGTTTGTCATCTCGGTGGTCAGCTGCTCACTCACTCACCACGACAGGCTCCCGATGTGAGGCGTTGAGGAGCTGCTGTATCTTCTGGTCGAATGTGTCCACCCAGGGGCTGCTCTCCTCCACAGAACTGCCGTTCAACATCGCACCGTGACCATCCTGCACAGACAGCACCAAAGGCCACACATGACTGACATGTCTCTCTCTCTGTGTGTGTGTGTGTGTGTGTGTGTGGAGGCAGCAACTCGTTCACTTAAGGGACAGACACTGACTGACTCACGTACGTCATGTTGGTTGTGTGAGTAGCGTTGTCTGAGGAAGGCCACGCCGCACCTGGCCTGCAGCTCACGCTCGTTCTCACAACACTGGACGAACACACACACACATATAGGTTCATTCGGGCAGGCAATGGGTGGGTGCGACTTGACTTCTGTGCGGTGTGTGTGTGTGTGTGTGGTGTGGTGGGTGCCGCGTTGATTGAAGTGTCTGTCGCCGACCTCTGCTGAGTAGTAGCAGACGTTGTGCACCCGCCGGAGGTACAGAATCTGAAGGTCAAGCTGGAAGGCCTCCGGATACCTGCAGGCGCACACACCACAGCCAACACACCGGTGGGTGACACACGGAGAGAATAACAGCATGGCGTGTTGGCCGTGCTGTTTGTGGTGTGGCGTGTCTTCCACCCAACCGACGTGTTGGCCTCCATGGCTTTGAGTAAGGGGTTTCTGGTCCCCTGCCGCTCCCCCTCCCCCTCGCCATAGCCCTCATCGCCTCCCATACCCTCATCACCGAACACGCCCTCCACCTGCCACTCCCTGTCTGCACAACAACAACACCACACAGCACACACCACACAACCATCAAACACCAGGAGTGAGTGAGTGTCATTGTTGGTTGGTATGTCCGTTGCGCTGCGCAACACCGCTGCAGCCCATATACTTGGTTAGTTACCGAGTTTTGCGATGAGTTGTGCGGACAGCTGGAGGTCTTTCTGAATGCGCGAGGGTGCGGCCATGTCGGCGGGGGCCACCCGCACCTTGTGCTTCTTCTTGGGCACGGCACGCTGGATGTTCAACACGTAACGGTCCTTCAACCTACACACACACATACACATACAATGAATCAATGACGCGACGATGGATGCCATGAGAGAGAGAGAACGGTCGGCCAGTGGGTATCACTGCATCACTGCCTGCTGTTTGCTGGTCTGATTCGATTCAGTGGCTCACTTTGTGTGTTTGAAGGTTTTTTCTGCCGTGGCTGCCGCCTCATCGCTGTCGAACCGAGCGTACCCCTTCCTGAATAGAATAATGCGTCAAGCCACCAACGCACACATACACACAGGTGATCCACAAACCGCTCTCTCGTCTGTTTGCACCCCGTAAGGCACGGGTGACTGACTGAGTGGCGGTGCCCACCCCACCCCACCTGGTGAGGTCGGATCTGAGGGGCTCCGTCAGGAAGACATTCCCAAAACCACTCGCACCCTGCATGTCATGTGGGTCGTGTACCCCACACGACACTCAAGTCGTCTATGCCTCTGGTCTGGGTGTGTCTGGTCTGTCTGCCGGTGTGGTGTAGTCAGGACATTCTCGGTGTGTACCTGGAGGAGGTCGTGGCAGTCCCACTTGGATATCTCGAGGGGCACATTGGAGAAGAAGAGCGTATTCACGTCGGCGTCCTGCATGTAGAACGGCGCCTCGCAGTGACCGCTGATCTCTGATACACACACATCACACACAGTACAACACACACAGGACAAGGACAAGGACAAGGCAAGGACACACACACGTGGTGGGTGGGTGGATGGAATCCTGTCTCAGCTGATCCAGCATGGACACAGACAGACCTTTGCTGGTCTCCTTTCTCAGATTGGGGTCGAGATGGCCGCCGCCTGTGTGTGCCGCATCATCCTCGCCCTCGCCCGCCCCCACGGCTGCCGACGAGCCGCCGGTGTGCTGCACCGTCAGCGAAAGGTCGTCGAATGCGTTCTCCTCTACCAACTGCACACGCAACGCATTCAGGCAGGGACAGACAGACAGACAGACGGACGCTGCTTGTGCCATGTGATGTGTGCCTGTGTGTCGTCCCCACCTTGATGAATTGTTGTGCGTTTTGTTTTGCGTGTGCGGACCGCTCGTCGTGCTGCCGCTTCTGCAGGTCGGGCCGGTACTTGTCGGGCAGATAGCCGGCGTCCTGCCATCAAACACGCATGATATGGATGGATAGATGGATGGATGGATGGATGGACAGCCAGGGAGAATGCGGGCTCGTGTGTCGTGTGGTGTCGTGTGTCTGCATGGCTGGCTGACTCACTGACTGACCTTGTTGTCTTTGAAGAACTTCTCCGAGTGGTGTGTTTTGTACTTGGTGCGGTAGTCGTCGTACCGCTCCACTGCCTCCATCGGCTCGATGCCCTCATCCTGATTGATGACGAACGACCTGAACGACAGCAGGGGCTCGTTGAAGCTCGTCGAGTAGATCATGTCGCCCTCATCGATGCGACGCCTGAATTCAGGCAAGGAAGCCACACATAAAAGGGTTATGATGATGCAGACAGACGGGGTCACATACTTCAGATGTGTGTGTGTGTGTGTGTGTACTTTCTGGGGCTGTATCTGATGTCGTCGTCGATGTAGCGTCTCCGCCGGTCAAAATCACGGTCATAGACACCGGGCGGCGGGCCACGTCTGATAAGGGCATGCACACACAACCATTCTCCCTGCACCGTCCAAGCTCACACGTACTCACCGGTCCCTCGGTGGGAATCGCCGGCGCCTGCCATAGATGCTGTCGCTGCAGCCACAACAGGCATGCCGTCCCGTCACATCACGACACATGACGACAGTGACAATTCAATCATCCCGCCATTGTTCGTGTTCATGCAGCATCCATCGCTGCACCGCGCTCGCTTGTCTGTCCTCCCTCTCTCACTCACTGACTCACCTGCGTGACCTGGATCTTGATCTGGATGGTGATCTGTCACCTCCGTCAGGGTGTCTCCCTCCCCGTCCCCGACCGCCGCGCCGCCGCCCGATGTGCGCCACTCGCTGGCCCGGCCTCTCCCTCTCGCGGGAGTCCTTCCGGCGAATCGGACGCCTCTCAGCATCGCGGTTGCGGTCTTCCTGCACCGTCGGGCTCGCCTCGCGACTTTTGTTTGCATCTTGCGCAGTGGACTCAGCCGTTCCAGCTGCAGGCGGTGGATCACTCATCCTCCGGCCCTTTTTCTCGGCGGCAGATCTGCGCGAGCTTTGCGAGCTTGATGGCAACCTGACAGAAACACGCTCCACAGGCAGCATAGTTGTTCGGTTGTATCAGTTGTTGGATTTTTGAGTAGGCAGGCGCATATCATCGCATATATCGTTATGCAGTTCGTGGCCAAGTCGGTGTTGAAGAGCACAGACAAGGGCATCGCCAGGGAGACCAAGACCAAAGAGCACGATGAAGCGGGTCAGGCACAGCACACATCAGCAGGAGAGAGAAGAAGAACCGATCACTCTCACCTTCCTCTCTCTTCGCATGCCTGATGCCACGCAGGTTTGTTCACACGAGGTGACTCGCTAGTGAATGAGCCTCTGGTGAAGCTCAAGGAGCACTACGCCGTGGAAGGTGCGGAGCGGAAGGAGATCCTCAACAGGGTCATCAAACCAAGGTGGGTGACACGAGCGCATTGCCAAGACACGTTTATGCGTCGTCAAGCAAAGCACATGCATCAATCATCCCTCGCTGGTGTGTGCTCTCTGTGTGTGTTTCAGTTCGTTTGAGCAGGAGGAGCCTCCGCGTGACCCGAACGACCCTGAGGATGCCGTCACCAACGTAACACACACACACACGCTGGCTCGCTCACCTGAGGGATGCCACCACATCCATCACACGCCGCCCATATGTCCGTCCGTCCGTCCATTGCCCGGCGGTTGTGTGTGCATTGATTGATTGCAGGAGTTCGCCCCTCCGCCCGTGACGGCAGGTGAGTACGAGTTTCTGCGGAAGGTGGAGAGCGACAAGCGGCGCTCGGAGGCCAAGACGGCGAGGGAGATCGACATGTTCCACCAGTCCAAGCTCGACGCCAGGAGGGAGGAGTCGTTCCTCGAGCGGCTCGAGAGGGCCGCACAGCAGCCCAACAAACGCAAGGAGGCCTCCTTCACACCCAAGCAGGTCAGCCACACCTGTGGCACTACATGGGCCGTTCCCCTCGCTGCTGTCGCTGAACGCTTTGTGGCTGTCAGTTGCTCAACTCCAACATGATAATCAAAAAGAAGAGGAAAGTCATGGGACAAGGGGAAGGGGGAGGGGGACACACGGGACAAGGCAGCAGCGACGCCCCGCCGCCCACCAGCGGTCATTCTGCTGACCGTGGCAAGGGGCGCTCGGAGGCCACAGCCGCCTTGCCGTCTGATGCTGCTCCGGCAGTTGCTGCTGGCGGCACAGATCGTGTGTGTGAGGGCCAGGCTGGCGGGCAGAAGGGCAGTGAGGCGCGTGAAGAGAGCTGTAGGGAGGGTCAGGGTGGGAGGGGACTGGCAGATCTGCTCGGATATGACGATGACGAAGATGAATGAATGAACGAATGGCTGACAGATCCATTGTGTGAATGCATGTGTCCTTTGTCGTGACGGAAAGACCCAGAGACGCAGAGGCGCGGGGTCAAGGGTTTAGGGTTCCCACGATCAATTTTTCCTTTCCCTCCCGACCCGATTCCCTTGGAGTCGTCAATCGACGCCACACGGAGCTTTCCACACCGTCAGGATAACATCAGCTGGTGGGGCCACCACAGCAAGCATCCCGGCCCACCCCCACCAGACCGCAGCCGCCAACCGCCATCACAGCTGGCTGCCTTCTGACCACAAGACCAGACCCATCCCATCCCAGCACAGGGTATCAGATCACATCACCATCATGACGGAGCGTGAGCTGTCGCAGGCCATCGAGTTTGTGCCCAACCGGCTGTATTGGGTGACCGTGGGCACCATCCCCCGCAACACGCCAAACACACACTTCTTCTCTATCGACAATGAGCTCTTCTACGAGCCCTTCTTCGCTGATTTTGGACCGCTGAACCTCGCCTGCACATACCGATACTGCAAAACCGTCGAGAAAAAGGTCGGTCAACGAGCGGAATGAATGACACACACAAACAGGGGGGACGAGTGGGCCGTGTGTGATGTGTGTGCAGTTGAGCGAGCCCCTGTTGGCGAACAAGCGAATCATCCATTACTGTTCGCAGGACCCCCACAAGCGGGCCAATGCGGCGTATCTGATCGGCGCCTTCATGATTATCGTCATGAAGAAGAGCGCCGACGACGCCTACCGCCCCTTCGTGGGCGTCTACCCCCCGTTCCTCCCATACCGTGACGCGACTTACGGCATCTGCACATACCACTGCACCATCTTCGACTGCCTCAAGGGACTCGAGTACGGCATCAAAGTACGTAGGTAGCTATACGGCCGGCCGGACACACACTCAGTCACATGGCTGGGCGGCTGTTGTTGTGTTTGTGCTGGGGTGTGTGTGTGCAGCTGGGCTGGTTCGACTACGACACGTTTGATCTGGCCAATTATGAGTACTATGAGCGCATCGAAAACGGTCGGTCAGATGAGTGGAGTGGAGCCCCTTCATGAGCAGAGGAGGGAGAGGCAGTCTGTGCGTGTTGTGTGTGTATCAATCAGGTGATCTGAATTGGATCATTCCCAAGAAGTTTGTGGCGTTTTCGGGCCCCTCTGCGACCAACAACGATGAGGACGGCTTCAGAACACTCACACCAGAGGACTACGTGGGCATTTTCAAGAAACTCGTAAGTGAGCCGAGCCAGCCGTGTCTCCCTCTCGCCGACCGATATATGCTCAGTCTATTCATCTCTGTGGTCATCAGGGTGTGACGACCGTCATTCGGTTGAACAAGAAACAGTATGACCGAAGGGTAAGCTTGGATCAGGAGAACGAACCGAACCGAAGCAACCGAGCCGCAGCTGTGCTGTCCGCTTGTCGTCGTGTGTTTTTCCTCTCTCCCTGTCTCTCTCTCTCTGTCCTTGCTGTGTGTGGCAGCGTTTCATCGAGTCAGGTTTGAATCACGTCGACCTCTATTTCGTCGACGGCTCATGCCCATCATGGTCACTCACAAAGAGAGAGGAAACGGGCACACACAAAACACACACAGCTGTGCACACACCACACGGCCCCGGAGTGTGTCGTGTCTGCCTGTCTGTCTGTCTGTCTGTGTGTGTGCAGGGACATCATTCGCAAGTTCCTGGACATCGTCGAGGCCGAGCCAGGTGCGATCGGGGTCCACTGCAAGGCGGGACTCGGACGCACCGGCACACTCATCGGCGCATACGCTATCAAAAACTATCGGTCAGGCAGACAGACAGACAGACAGACAGGGCGGGGCACGACGTCTCATCCATCCCATCTCGTGTGGGCTGGACTGCTGATGAGTTCAGCTTTCCAGCGGCGTACTGGATCGGGTGGAACCGCATCTGCCGACCCGGTAGCGTGCTCGGGCCCCAGCAGCACTTCATCTGCGATATACAGGTCGGTCGGGCAAGTCAGGTCCGCATGCAGACCTCTCGGAGAGGGAGGGACCTGTGTGCATTGTGTCCTTGTGTTGGGTGTGCCCTGTCTGTGTGGTTGGATGGATAGAATGAGTTGATGCAGATGGGCATGGCTCAGCGGGGCCTCCGGCTGCCCATCGGCGACCCGACGGCACCATCCTCACCGGAGTCCTCGCCCATGAGGAAAGGACAAGGACAGGTGCCTTAAGCAGTGCAGTCAGTCAACCATTGGCCCAAGAGCTATCTCATCCTCATGTTTGTCTGTCTGTCTGTCTGTCTGGGTGGCTGGCTGGCTGGATTGGGTGTGTCTATGTCTGGCTTCAGATGTCTCCCGAGGAGCGACGCAAGGCCGAGCAGGGAGACCTCGGCCAAGGCGACCGGCTCGTCAACGCCAAACGGTCAACACACACACACACACACTCACACAGATGCCTGGTTCGATGTCTCTGTGTGTGTTTGTCTGGCATGCATGGGTCAGTGGTTCGCCTCGGCATGGCGGTGGCAGTGCGACGAGTGCGGGCGGCAGCACAGCAGCGTCCCCCACGTCGGCGAGCAGCACGCCCTCGGGCTCACCCACACAGACCAAGACACAAACCACCAGCTCACAGGGATTCAAGTAAGCTAGTGCGGACGGGAGGGAGAGGGAGAGGGAGAGGGAGAGGGACATGCCTCGTGTGTGGTGTGGTTCGTGTGCATTCAGTCGGGCGATATTTGGGCGCAGACTAAGAGACCACTGACGATTAACGCTGCCTTCCTACACGTGCTGATAAACAGCCACATGCTCCTTCCCCTCTCTCAGAGCAAAGCAACACAGGTCGATATCCATGTCTCTGTCAGGTTGCGTGTCTCTGGCTTGTGCTGTACCACCGCGTGTTTCAAGCGTGACGAAAAGGCAAAGCGGCGGACCAAATAAATACATACATTGGAGGGAGGGAGGGATGGTGGATGGTTGAAGGGAGGAAAGGAGGAATGCCGGCGGTGAGCAAGGAGGCAGATTGTGTGGTGGGGTGGGATGGTCGGCTGGCCGGCCATTGTTGATTGAAAATGCAGTCAGTCAGACAGTCCATGCATCCGTCGACCCTCGTGCATATGAGATGGTTGCCTGTGCGTATCCATGGCTTGACTCCTGTCTACACGAATGTCTACACGTATCCATGGGCGGACCCTCCATCCCTGACTGACTGACGTCAAGCACACACATACCAGGATCGACACTCACAACAGATACAAACTGTAGGCAGCAATGAACCGCCCGGCCACCCTCATGGCCTGCCTGTCGATACTGCCATCACTCGCGCTTCAACCAATCGAAAGTCAGTGCTGGCCAGCTACAACCCCAGGCAGCACGGCTGTCTTTGTCTACCCTCTACACCTCCCGCCCGTCCATCCATCCATCCATCCAGCCAGCCAGCCAGCCAGTCATCCATTCCATCCATCCATTCCAGCCATGTACGTATGAAAGCACGTCACATCCACACAAAGTAAAATCCTGGCATGTGCAGACAAGAAGAAATCCTTTGCTTCAAAAAAGATCGGCAGTCTGGCGTTCTTTCTGCATCCTGGCGCCCATGGTCTGCCGTGGTCTGTCCACTCTCTCTCGTCTACGTGTCTTCCGTCAATTCGGCATAGCACGGTGGGTGCAGGTGGGGGTCGATAGAGGGGCATCGCGGGACCCCTATCAGGCAGAGACGCAACAAGGCAACGACAGAGACGCTGCAGCACCCCCTCGTAGACCTCACCGCTCTTCAAAACACCACTGGATCCGTCCGCCCGTCAGCCGCAGCTCCACACACCTGACGTCCCGTTACGGTCCCGTTAAGCCCGTGTTTTTCCACCTCTGCAGCAGTGACCCCGTCAGCCATGAGCCACCCGCCCGGCGGCTCCACGGGCATCGTCGGTCGCTGACGGCACTTGGCCACGATGAGGTGTCATGACGCGCAAGCCCACGGGTGTCCTCTCACCCCAACAGACAGCCTTTTGAGTGTCGGTACTTTCTGTCTGTCTGTTTCCTCGTCTGTTTGCGTACCTCTGGGGAGCAAGCCCGGGGTGTTGATGTACTGCCCTGTGTATGTGTATGCCCCCCTCGTGCCCTGCCCGCCCCCAGCCGTGCCGCCGTAGCCTGCAGGCGGCGCCATCGGTCGGTAGTTGTGAGCCATGCTCATGGGCGGCACAGGCAGATGGGGGTACTGCGGCGACTGGTAGTAGTAGAGGTTTGGCGGCACGGGAGCCGGCGGGTGGTAGGGGGGGCGATGGGAGGCTGGGCCTGCTGCTGTGTGTATGGAAGGCGGGCGATATTTGGCCGCACGGCAGCAGAGCGAGGGTGGACGGGAGCTGGCGACACGACAGGTGCACCAGCAGCACCAGCACCAGCACCAGCAGCGGACCTGATCGAATCAATCCAGCCAAACAGACGGAATGAATGAGAGTGCATACAGGATGATGCCTGTGGCTTCTGTTGGCCTACAGAGTAGCTGCCGGGAATGCCTCCTGGACGAGCGATCCGTCAACGCTGAGACACCAGACAGACCCACAACAGACACAGATAACCAATGCCATTCGTCCATCCGTTCTCTGTGCCGTCCGCCCTCTTGTCTGACCCACCTGCCGTGTCCAGCCCCCTGCCCCTCCCCTGGCTGCACTCCACCACCACCACCAGCAACACGCCCACTAATACCCGCCTGCATGACGGACACAGACAGAGAGAGATATACCAACGATGGATTCATTCCCCTGTCTGTCGTGGCCGTGCTAGCTTACCAATGCCACCTAGATACCGTCCTCGCGAACCCCCCTCCTCCTGCGCCCCTGCCCCCACCATCGTTGCCACCACGACGCCCACCGCTATCTCCATCCCTCGCCACACACGCCGCATCCCGTAGCCCATCTGCCGCTGCCGCTGTCGCCGCCCCCTCTGCTGGTCTTGTCGGTACCACACTGGTCAGCACCTCCCGCAGCTGCCCAGCGACGTCATCCTCCTCAGGGTCCTGTTCGTTGTCCTGTCGCTCGATGGCTGGTGGACTCTTGATGGTGTTGTCGCGACGGGGTGCGGCCTGGGCGGCGCTGCTGCTGGCCGAGGGGTGAGTGGGGGCGTTGTTCATGTTGGCAGAAGTGCTGGCAGCCGCGGCAGCACCAGCAGATCCGGAAGACGACTCCTACACGACAACAGAGAACAGAGAAGGTGCATTTGGATGGATGGATGGATGGGTGGGCGTGTGGGCATCAGTTGGGTGAGCACAAACCTGTATTTATTTGGTTGATTGAGGGGGGAGGGGGAGGTTGGTCCTGTCTCCCGCTATGTCCACCATCCCCACCCCCACCTCGACCACCACCAGCCCTCTCCGTACCGACCTCACGCCAAGGCGCAGCTGCTGCAGCTGCCGCAGCAATGGCAGCAGCGGGGCCATTTACCACCGCTCGGTCCTCTGGGGGATCCTGAGCCTGCTCGTCCTGGATGTCTTGGGCGGTCCTCAATGACGTCTGGGGATCGTGTTGGTCGTCAGCTGCTGGCGGAGGGCTGTGGGACATGGTTGTCTTGGACGCGACTGCTCGCAGCCCCAGACGCGGCCTACACGAAGGAAGAAAAGAGAAGAAGGGACATGGGCATGGATGGAAGGATGGACGGATGTGTGTGTGTGGGGGGGGGGGGGATCGATG